ATCAGGTATGAATGTTATTCAGTGTCAACGTATGATTGGAGCAGCATACCAGATCAGTAAGTAAATGAATAAATAAAAAATATTGAGCTCAATGAGAAACTATTTATTTAATCAAAATTATAAAACGCTTCAATCACAGTCACAACTCTTGAGTAGAAATAGATAGAACTACTCCAAAAATATTAGTTTTCCTACTAAAATCATAGTGAAAAAAAATTGTGTACTTAATTCCAATTGAAATGTGCAATTAACTTCATATGAATCCCACCTAATGTAGTTACTGAACTTCTATATATTTTTAACGCTGGTATTTTTTCTGTCAAAAAATATCCAAAAGCACTCCGGCACTCAGCTTCAACAAGCTGTTATATTAACACAAATGAAAGCCAGAACAATCTTGGGAAATTTAACTCTAGTCTTTTGCCATTTCACTTCTGCCACACTTACATATCACTAACCCCTAATCTAATTGTTGTTATATTAACAAATTAATGATTACTAGTACTTTTGTGCCTTGGTTTAGTCTGAGTCATTTGTATACAGCAATATTTGTTCTAAACTAGATTTACACAACTTTTGGGGGGTTGTAGGTTGTGCCTGGGGTCCACATCAAAAATCTGGGTGCAGCTACATATGGCCTCAGGACTCAGATCATGCACCTCTGTTCTAAAACTGTGTATGTTAACCCAGTACTTCCATACTAACATAAACAAAAAAGGACGAAAAACTTTAATGACCTGAGCTTTTACTTTCTCCTCTTCCAGCGATGTCAAGGCAAAATCACCAATCATATGGTCCACTATATAAGATGTCTTGATATCTCTTTCCAAAGCTTGGCGGTTCTGAAGCAAATAACTTTTAGCTCTCTCATCCATTTTTATTGTTCCTTTTAGTTGAGTACAGTAATTCCATGAGTTAACCAAGACACAGAAAATTTCATAATTATAATATATGAATATCACTTATAAGTTACTTTAAAAATGATCAGACAGAATCATGGATTACTAGATAACACTAATCAATATTTCAACTTGCAATAAACTCTTGAACAGTTGTCAGGTACAACTGGACTTCAATACTGAAACCTAGCCACTACCACCAGTGAAAAAACTATTGCAGATGTCTGTGCATATATGTGGTTAGAGGTGTTCATCGTATTTTAATTTTCCTGAAAATATATTATCTTTTCCAATTATAAAATGGTACTAATCCCGTATAACTACAGGCTCTGCAACTGCAGCAATACATACAGTAATACAAAGAATGAGATATAAGATAATTAAATCCAAAATTATGAACCTGCATCGCACACTGGTATATTATACAAATTATTCAATTGATCAGTCATTCTTTAAGATGCATTATTCCAAGCTTTGTTTAGATGCAGCCTTACAAAAAATCATTATTTTAGCATTTATTAGATGAATTTGCATCTCTTTTCAAATAAATTATGAAAAAGTAAGTTAACTTCATCTATACATTTGCTTTAAACAGCCAAGGAAAAGAGTCTATTTTGATATCTTTAAGTTATATCCTTGCATTTCTAGAACATCACATTTATATTTATAATTGAAAATTTAAAAAAATTACACAACCATTATAAAGCAAAATTTCAGAACATAAAGGCAATTTGAAAGTCAATGTTTAACATGAAATATTAATTAGCCTAAGATACAGAAACATGCTTATAGAAACAATGTAGGTTAATAAAATATGCTATTGCACACTATTAAGTATAGATTTGTATATAACAGCAAAATAAAGCAATATGCAGTAAAATGGTGAAATTTAAACACAAAGTATTGGAATCTAAACTGCACTTGCTTAAATGTACATTATCAAACACAAGATGCTTTGAATACATTACATATATTCTGACTACACAAAATTGTACATAAAGCATATACTGTTACAGTACGCTGATGCTGCTTGTACTATGCCTATTTAGCTGAAAAATGTATGCAACAGAAAGGTTCAATTCTTCAGCATCAATATCCTAACTTAACCTGTTCTAGGTCGATAAAAAGGGTGAAAGTGACACCTAGAGGGTAGGGTTGGAAGTTTTCATGATTTTGTAAGTTTAATTTGTCCTATCAGAGAATTATTCAGAGCAGCAAATTAAAATGATTTAATGCAGCAAAACATTAACTTTGAGATTATCCATTTAAAGCCATGTTAATTAGGACTGTCTTGTACAGATGTGTTTACTGCTGTAGCTAAATTCAGGAACTCAGTATTCGACTGTGGAGTAATCTGGTGAAAAATTCATGCCCTTACTTCATACATACACATCACTTCACGCTGCTTATAAACGTTTAATACCCAAGTCATTATCTGCATTCCAAAAAGTAGACTTTTCAAAAGTAGAACACGTTTCTTTACGTAGAACAGCTGTACCCAAACCTAAAAAAAAGTAGACTTTTCAAAAGTAGAACACGTTTCTTTACGTAGAACAGCTGTACCCAAACCTAAAAAAAAGTAGACTTTTCAAAAGTAGAACACGTTTCTTTACGTAGAACAGCTGTACCCAAACCTAAAAACGAAAATGAAAACGGCGAATTTCCCGTTCAAGCTATTTAAGGAAAGGTGCGGTCCTGCTGTGAATTCTCTACTGCCCGCTCCGCTCCTAAAGTTGGCCCGCACTATTTTTTTATCTCGACGGGTCCTGCCGTCCCGCACCCCCCTTCAACATGCTTTTATTTTCTCCTCATTGTCTCGTCCACTGTCTCCCCGCCCTCCGCCCTGCTAGGTTACCTGAGGCGTAAGCAGTGTTCGTGGGAACGGGAGAGTGGCGGCCCCGATGAAGCCCTTCAGACCCCTCAGCCTTCACCTCATCTCAGCTGCCCCCGGGACGGGCACTCGGGAACTAGCGACCACTTCCTCCTTCGCGAGGCGAACCGAGGAGGCAAAGAGCAAGAGGGGCGGGGTAAAGCGAAGGGCGAGCCTCCGCGAAGTTTCTCGGGAAGGGTAGCTCGGAAGAACCAGAGCCACGAGGCTCCCAGCGAACAAAGCCGACGTCTCGTGCCCGAGCCACGGGCTCACCGTCTTGGCTCAGCTCGCGCCCAGCAAGACAAGAAGACCACCGTGACAGCCCGCGAGCGCGCGCGCGCGCCCGCCCCCCGCGCCGCGTTCAGCACGACGCTCTCCCCGCCCACATTGACTGGTAAGGGCACGCGAAGAGAAGGGATGGCGGAAGAGGAGGGGGCGGGCATCGCCGAGCATGCGCTTGGACGTGGCGCTCTGTCTCGGAGAGGCGTCGGCGGCGAAGAATCTGCTCAGAAAGCTTCGAGCGGGGCAGCGGGGCTGGAGTAAGACTGCGAAAGCGACGAGCTCAAGTTTTGTCCCTTCCTTTTATGGATCATAGGTAATGGAGGATACTAAAGTGGGGGACCAAATTGGAGAGCGGGGGAAGGGGAAAGGATTATACAGGTAACGCTGCGGTTCTAATCCGCAGCAATAGGGAAGCAAATTCCTAGAATATAGGAATAGACATATATGAGGAATACTTTGTTAGCGTTTACATTTAGTGGGAAGGAAATGGCTTTGAACAAAATGGGTTTTACTCCTAAATAAATGTGGTGTGGGACCTATGGGAAGTTTCCTTTGGGGGGAGGAAACTATTTGGAGATAATGCACTTCTTCTTCAATTCAGTGCATGAATCCTGCATCAAGGAATGTTCGAAGTCAAGCGAAGGAGGAGAGCAAACATTTCCAAGCCGAATGAAGATCAACAAAAGAAACAGTCGGTTTTCAAGAGTACCAAATCGAGGAGGATGGATCTGCAAACAGCTTCAAGTTTTCTATCTCTTGTTGCCAGTCTAGGGCTATCATGGTAAGCAAAATTATAGGAAATCTGGTACAGCTGTGGTAAAAGGCTGTTTAGTGGTTACTAAGAGTTGACTCCACTTGATGGCACATAATCAATGGTAAAAGACAGCAAAAGTGTTAATTCTTGATTTTGGCTGGGTGTTCAGCTTTTGGATTTGAATAACCTGTTTTTATAATGTGATGTTAATCTTCAGTTTGTACTTATGCTCAGTGTTACATTTGCAATTGAATTAGGAAGACAGGATAAAATGCTCTCCTTTGTATAATTGCTTGGAAGTAAAAACCTATTCTAGTGATATATGCATAGGGGTAGGCCACCTAAAGAATGCTCTATGTCAGTTTATCCTACTATTTATGCAAAATTTCATAGCTGAGCATTATTCTTGAAAATAAGATTTAAATGTTAATTAAACATCAGAAGCAGGTGTTCATAAAACTATTTCTACTTAAATATGCCTAACTAATGACTGGATTGGTTTGTTTGATGATGTTTGATTAGTAGACTTTCCTACATTTCTCTTTACCTAAGCACCTCTGAAAATCCGCTCCTGTAAATTAATGCATGGATCTGCAGCAAAAATTAAGAGAATCAAAAACCAGAAATTTCTGCCTGCATAGCTTTTAGTCAGCAGAAGCACTTCTGATTTGTGTAAAACCATCATAAGTTCCTTTGAACTCTATACTTTTGTTGGAGATTAGGGTATAAATAATTTCTTATATAGCCTTTTGTGCAGATGCATTGTTAAACTGTTATTGCAATTTATCCTCAAATTGTGGAAGCAGCTTTTAATTTTTAAATGTTTTGTTGCTAATTTGGTTTTTCTACATTTCTCAGGTTTCTTTTTCAGCAGTCAGTTCAGCTGGCTGCTATAGAGAAGAAATATCACATATTAAAGGAGGAAGCTGTAAAGTTTCAAGATATGGAAAATAAAATTAGCATAATGTCTGAAAAGGTAATAATTCAAAAAAGATATTGCTATAAAACTGGGTATTATTATCTGAAATCTGCAAGATACTTTGCATCAGATATTTACCAACTTAAGGAAAACCTGTTGAACAGTTACATATACAAATAAATTTAGGTTGAAAATTAAGTTTAGTAATCGAGTCAGTCATTTGGTTGAAATCTAAATAGCTAAATATATGGAAGAGTGCAATACTATGCATGCCTACTTGGAAGTAAATGCCATTGGATTCAGTGGATATTTTCCAAAGTAAGTGCATAGGAAATTGATTTACCTGCAGTACTGTTCTAATTTAGGAATAACTCCCTTTGAATTTAGCTAGCCTCAGTTTGAATAAATAATACATTATTGGTTAGATCTATAGCCTGCCTTTCATTCAAGTCAGTCTACATAGCACTCTCTCTTCCAATTTTTTCCTACCAAGAACACTATGAGGTAGGATTTGAACTTGGATCTCCTTAGTTCTAGTGAACAGTTTAACCACTACACAACAATTGTTGTTGTGAGTTAATAGCATGTTTATAATGAGCTAGCATCTGAAATTTTCAGTACAGTTTTAAGAATGATTTTTGAAAAATCATACCCAATTGATTGGGACCATGAATGCTTCCATCCACATCTGAGTTCTCCTGCTCTTCAGTTTTGTCTTTTGAAATCACATCTAGTAAAGAATGCCAGAGAGTAATTGCTATTATCAAAAGATACCGTAAAATAAAAATAAGTATTGTGTTACACTTTGATATTAAGGTTAATTCACAATGCATTTAATCTGTGGCTAAAGAAATAATGTGAATATGAGTAACCCTGACCTGTACACTTTAACTGTATGAGTTTGTATGTTCGATTTATGGACTAAACCTTTGCATTTATTTTGGTGCAGCTTAAAAGTGATGTAAACATGCATTAACAGAGAGTCAGTGTACACAGTGGTTAAGATATTAGACTAGGAGTGGCAAGACCCAGGTTCTTGTCTACCCTCAACCATGAAAACTCACTCTGGCTTCTCTTCAGATTATATAATTTTGTTAATTAAGCTTACTCGGTGATCTTGGGCCCATCACTTTTTCTCAATCCAACTAACAAGGCTATTATGGAGAAAAATAGGAGAAGGGAGTGCTATGTACACTGCCTTGACCTGAATGAAAGGCAGGATATAAATTTGATATTTGAATAAATTCTAGTTTTTTTTCATTTGTCCATAGAAAGCTTTGCTGCAATATTCTTATATTCATGAAACAGAACTGTTGAACTGTAACAATTAACTTCTGCTATTCAGAATAACAGTTAAATTCTGCTATTCAGTAGAATCAGCAATACCATACATACTTTTAAAAGCTATTCATAGTATGTTTGGGCTTAAATGAAATAGAATTGCAGGCTTATATTAATTTATATTTCATGCTAAAGTGACTGTTTAAGACTGTTGTCATAAGCAAACATATTTGAAAATTTGTCCCTTGGCTAGAGTTTTACTTAAATAGTAAACAAGTATAGGCTGCAAAAATATTCTTATTAACTGTTTCTTCTTTTATAAAAGAAAGTAAGCTAAGAACCGAAAAGAAAAGAAAAATAATAAGGTTGCTTATTTTTAAAGCTGCAGAATAAAGCATTCTTTTAAAAATAAAATAAACAAACTCAATCTCTGACAGTAATGTAACCTTTTATAGGAAATCTGCTATAGCAAATCTGTTCCTTCTAGCTTAGTACTGAAGAACTAATTCAGAACTAAGTGTATCTATATTAATCCTTCATTATTGCAAAACATTACATGATGAAAATGAAATTTTAATGAAAACAGGTTATTAAAAAGGTAAATAAATACAGTATCTGTATAGCTGTTTAGTAAACACATTTTTGGAAAGGTTTTTGCATTCTGATGTATTGGAGATGTTGCTTTCTACAGTTGTAGAAATAGTTAGGTGTAGCCTTTGATAATCCCCACATTTTATTGATGTATTTCAGCAGCAGTCACTCTGCTGCTGCTTTTGTTCTTCCTTCCCACTATTAATACAAAGTCTTTTCCCTTCTCCTTCTTTCTATCTCTATCCCCTCATGTTACCCCTCTATTTGCCTTTCTGGGCTTAGCACTAATTTGTTTTGTTTCTTTCATTGCTTGAAAGTTGTCTTTTGAGCAGTTAAATATTATTTATTTTAAAGTAGTAATTACTTTTGCTTTGTATTTGTCTTGCTCCCAAGTTTTAAATTGTTTTGATGCTTCTCTCCCTCTGTAGTTTGCCTTTTGACATGCCATTCAAAGGCCCATAGTCACACAAAATTTAAATACGCTGTATGTATCTTAAGGGTAAATTGTATATGCAACAAGTAAGTGAAGATGCACATTGTTTTGTGTTAAAAATGCAGTTTGCATCTTCGAGTGTCCTGCAGGAGGCGCCTTCATATGTTTCCATGGTAACCAATTTTGAGCAAGAAGTATCTAGCCTTCATAACTTCATAGAGGATATTCAAAGCAGTGAAAAGACACGGTCTAAAAAGTTTCAGACCATTAGCGAGAATTTTCAAAGGGTAGTAGACTCCTGGAAGAGAAGCAAGTCTGAAATGGATACAAATACCAGCAACTTCAGTTTGGAAACTAAGTTTTTACATAGAGAAATAACCTCCCAGATCAATACAGTGGATCAGGGACTAAAAAAACTTTCTGAAAGACTGAAAGATTTGGAAGACAGTACAGTAAGGAATCTTAAAACTTTAAATAGGCAAGAGGAAGATATACTGATACGGATTGAAGAGCAGCTGCAATTGGATAAAAAGACAGCTAAAATATTAAAACAAGAGCACAACAGACATTTGGTCAGAAGTAATGATCTATACCAGAAACTTGTACTTTCTGAACACAAACTGAAGGAGTGCGAGACCTATTTGCCAGCAATAGAGAGTGCTATTTATTCCATTCTTAAACTATCAAGTGAGCTTGTTGCTGCAGAAAGAAAAAAAGAAGACATGATCACAAAAGTATTCAGTGCAGAAAATGAAATGATGAAAGCTATTTCTGAGATAACGAACATACAGAACACTCTTGAAGGTATGCAGCATGAAGATAGCATTTTAACACTGCAGAATGAACCATTAATGTTACAAGAAAAGATTAAAGATTTTGCAGAAGAAACCCAACATAGTATGAACAGTATTACTAAGGGAGCTGTATAATCTTAAAGTTACTTTGGCTGCCATTTATATTTTTGGGGACAGATGAGCACAAAGAAAATAAATATTGGAAGATTTTTTAAAAAATATTAACCATACTGGAAACAGGCTCATGTATTTATTTATAGACATTTTGCAAATAATCTGATGATTGAGCTCATTATTTTGGTTATATGTCATCAAGTCAGTTTTGACTACATAGACTTCTTCAGGATCATTTGTCACCAACCTGACTCTTCAGGACTTCCAACGATGCATTCCATTGCTACCATAATCAAGTCCATCCACCTTGCTGCTGGTTGGCCTTCCACCTATCCCAGCATTATAGATTTCTTAAAAGAACTAGATCTTTGCATATGTCTAAAAGCTGATAATTTCAGCCTGATCACTTGTGCCTCAAGTAAGAGCTCTGTACTGATTTTGTCTATGATCCATGTTTTCTTCACCATCCATGGTATTCTCAGGAATCTTCTCCAGCAAAGTTCAGAAGCATCCATACTGATTCTATCCTCCTTCAAAGTCCAACTTTTACTTCCATAGAGCATCACAAGGAAAAAAAAATTGCCTGCATGAAACATCGTGGCATCTGAATATCTTCATTGCTGCCCTATCAAGTATTAATCTGTAATATATTTCTTAGCTTCTGGTTCCTTTACTGTTGATATAAAAAGCAGAAACTATCCATCACCTCAGTGTCTTCACAGTCAATTTCTAAAGCTGGTTGCTATACCTGTTGTCATTAATCTGGATTTCTTTATAGTTAATTATAGACAATTTTTTTCACTGCTCCCTGACTTTTATTATTACAACTTACAGATCTTCCACATTTTCAGCTACCACAACAATGTCAGCAGCACACAGCTTATTGGTGCTCATCCCAGCAGTTTTAAAACCATGCTCATCTTCTTTCAATTCAGCCTCTCTCACTATAGATTCAGGAAATAGGTTGTATAAATAGAGAGTATACAGCCTTGTCCCTCACCCCTTTGGTGACCTTTAATCAGTCTGTTTCACCATGTTCCATCCAGACTGTGGCTTCTTGTGGTGTGTACAAATTATGCATGAGGACTATGGGAAGTTCTGGGATTCCCATTTTCCTAAGCATTACAAGTCCAAGTTCATTTGGTGAAAGAATGCAAAATGATAGTGATGGTAAACTTTGATAGGATCAATAAAAATTAAATAAACCATTTAAAGTATTTGAAATTTTGCTGTTCTCTGACCACATGCTTGAGTCTAAGAATTTCTTACAGTAGCAGTTGGCAACCCTGGCTTATCTTGAAAAAGTTGAGGATGAGACTTCTTATTTTGATGGGAGTGAAAAGACTGGGAAATAAGAGAAAAAAAATTCTTAGAAGGCAGCACTGCAAACCTCTTTTGTACTGTTGCTAAGAAAAGTACAGTTATGACTGCAGTTGGGACTGGAATTTCCATTGCTAAGCAATGTGGTTGTAATGCACCATGTTACATGACTGCATCACTTAGCGATGGCAATCCTGGCACTCCCTGTTGCTGTCCTTAACTGAATCCCACCAGTCATTAGCCAAGGACCCACCCTGATCCAAGCCATTCCAGGCTTGGTCCCTCCCACCCCCGTGCGTCGATAAGCTACGGGACTGCCTCCTCTTGAACTTCCCCCACCTGCCTATCTCCCCATCTTTTCCTTTTTTGGCTGCCCACCTACCTGCTGTGCCAGCTGCCCCTACCACCCACTCCTATCTGCCACACTGCATGCCAGTACTGTACCAGCTGGGGCCTTCTTTGCACTGCTGCCTTTTGCGCTGGTGCCACTGGGGCTTCTCTTGCTCCCCACCCAAGGCCGCTATTTGTACCCCACCCAGGGCCTCTCTTAGCACACCAGCCAGGGCCGCCTTTCATGAAAGAAAATATTCATGAAAGGGGCCTTCTTTTGCACCAGCGCAGCTGAGTAATTTTTTCACATGCCTGCCCAAAAAAGGCAGGTGTGACAAAGAAGGACCCTTCTGGCCGGGTCCTTTCACAAAAGAAGCCCTGGCTGGCATGCAAATGGCAGCCCTGGGCGGAGTGCAGAGACCCCAGGCGAGGCACGAAAGAAACCCTGGTGGCACCAGTATGAAAGGTGGCGGCAAAAGAAGGCCCCAGCTGGTGGTGTGCGTTGCAGTGGCAGGTAGGCTGAGTGGCAGGTGGTTGGGTGGGTAGGTGGGTGGGCAAAAGGTGGTTGTAAATGTGGGTGGGCCCGAGTGGGCCTGAATTCTGTTCATGTGACTGCGGGGGCACTGATGGCTGGAACTTAAAAGACTCGGTTGTAAGTCCCTAAGCCTTCGTCCAGCACTGTTGTAATTTCGAACAGTTCTGAACAAATGGACATTCAGCAAGGACTATCTGTACATGGAAGTGTCTATAGGTACAAGAAATCAAGCTTGATTCTTTTATGATACAGATGAGGCAGCTGTGTAACTAATCAGTCTGGTGTAACTATGGGAAAAAAATTGATGGAACAAATGCTATGTACATCACCCTAAGCTTCTGAAGGAAAGGCAGGATACAAATCTAAGAACACCACATCAAATCTTAACAAAGTGTTTTAAACTCCACTTACAGTGAGGGAAAAAATTATTTGATAACCTGCTGATTTTGTACGTTTGCCCACTGACAAAGAAATGATTAGTCTATAATTGTAATGGTAGGTTTATTTTAACAGTGAGAGACAGAATAACAAAAAAATCCAGAAAAACGCAGTTCAAAAAAGTTATAAATTGATTTGCAGTTTAACAAGTGAAATAAGTATTTGATCCCCTATCAGTCAGCAAGATTTCTGGCTCCCAGGTGTCTTTTACTGTATACAGGTACAGTAACAAACTCAGATTAGGAACACTCTCTTAAAGGGAGTGCTCCTAATCTCAGCTTGTTACCTGTATAAAAGACACCTCTCCACAGAAGCAATCTGTCAATCAGATTCCAAACTCTTCACCATGACCAAGACCAAAGAGCTGTCCAAGAATGTCAGGGACAAGACTGTAGACCTATACAAGGCTGGAATGGGCTACAAGACTATCGCCAAGCAGCTTGGTGAGAAGGTGACAACAGTTGGTGCGATTATTCACAAATGGAAAACATACAAAATAACTCTCAATCTCCCTTGTTCTGGGGCTTCATGCAAGATCTCACCTCGTGGAGTTTCAATGATCATGAGAACGGTGAGGAATCAGCCCAG